GATCACGTGTTGGTGGTGTGAGTGTGTGTAAGATCACGTGTTGGTGGTGTGAGTGTGTGTGATCACGTGTCAGTACTGTGGGTGTGTGTGATCACATGTCAGTGCTGTGGGGGTGTGTGATCATGTGTTGGTGGTGTGGGTGTGTGTAAGATCACGTGTTGGTGGTGTGAGTGTGTGTGATCACATGTCAGTGCTGTGGGTGTGTGTGATCACGTGTTGGTGGTGTGGGTATGTGTAAGATCACATGTTGGTGGTGTGAGTGTGTGTGATCACATGTCAGTGCTGTGGGTGTGTGTGATCATGTGTCAGTGGTATGGGTGTGCACAGCTTGTGCCGGTGAAACTGTGTCTGAGCACGGTGTGTTGGGGGTGTGTGTGACATTAGCACACATGTGTCTGAGCATGTGTGGCTGTGAGTCTACCCGTGATCGTGTGGGCTTGTGTGTGCCTGAGGGCATGCTTGTGTGTAAAGGCCTCTGTCTGTGTGTCTGTGTGCTGGTGAGGGGGTTGGGAGTGGAAGCATCTGTGCCTGTGAAAATGAGGATGTGAGTGTGTGCTTGTGATGGGTGTCTGTGTCTGTGACAGGGACCTTGGGGCAGTAGGGGGTGGGAACTCTCATACCTCTTGGCTCTTTCTTTCATGGGGTCCCTCTGGTAGGAGCCAGAGTGAGTCCAGGCTGGACCTCCACACTTCTCTTTCCTGCTCAGCTGCCCCCGGGCCCTTCTCCCATGTGAATTTAATCATATCCTGCTCCTATTTAAAACCCCTCATTTGTTTCTGGGATACCCCAGGCCCGTGTGATTGTCCTGCACTATGGGGGCCCTGCCCACCTCTCTCCTGCCCTCACTACCTCTCATCCTAACCCCTGGCACCTGCTGCTCTTCTGTGCTCCTAAAGCAGCCACCTCCTTCCTACCCCAGGGCCTTTGCACCTACAACTCTCTGTCTGGGATGTTGGCTCCTTTCATCCTTGTCATCCTTGCTCAAATGTCACCTCTGCAGAGAACTCTGCTCCCCATAAGTGCCCAGCAAAGGAGCCTTTGCCCATGCCATCGCCCAGTGTAGGACTCCCACGGCGCTAGTCACCCTGTGTGGTCCAAATGTCCATGGAATATCTCCCCCATCGGTGTGGGAGCTCCCCAGAGTCTGCCTGTTCAGGGTAGAATTTGCCCCAGATCCAAGTGCTGGCAGTTCAAGGTGTTATTTGTCTCGTGACTGAATGACAACATGTCTTGTGTTGTCCTCTTTCCCTGCCAGCTCTCAACTCTATCTCATCACTGGCGATGGTGTGAGGAGCCTCAGCCATGTCCGCAGCCCTTCTGAGGCGAGATCCTGTACTGGAGAGGAAGGTGGGGGGGGCTCTGTGCCATCATCCCAAGATGGGCGTCCCAGGTGCTGGCCGGGAAGGTGCCAGCTCCAGATCCAGAGTCACGCTTCTGCCCTAAAAGTATTTATACCCTTTCACTCAGTGATGCTGCTTCTGGAACTGTGAAGACAAACCAAAATCATTTTTAAATGCCCCGGGCACAAAGATGCTTATTGCATTATTATTTCCAAGAGCAAAAACTGGAAGCAATTCAAATACCTAACAGTTGGCAAATGATTTGTTATAAGGGCATGTGAACTAAGAATAGGTTTTTACATTTTTAAATGGTTAAAAAAATGAATTAAGAGGTAGGGCCCGTAGCTCAGTAGGTAGGGCACCAGTCACATACACCAAAGTTGACAGGTTTGAACCCGGCCCTGGCCTGCTAAACAATAACAACTGCAACAAAAAAAATAGCCGGGCGTTGAGGCGGGCGCCTGTAGTCGCAGCTACTTGGTAGGCTGAGGCAAGAGAATCATTTAAACCCAAGAGTTGGAGGTTGCTGTGAGCTGTGACATTACAGCACTCTACCCAGGGTAACAGCTTGAGACTCTGTCTCAAAAAAAAAAAAAAAAAAGAATTAAGAAATAATATTTTATAATGTGAAAATTTCATCAAATTCAAATGTTAATACCAGAAATAAAGTTTTACTGGAACACAGGCACACCCCTTCATTTGCATACTATCTGTCCTGGGTTTTGGCGTATAGCAGGGGAGCTGAGTGTTGACAACAGACCCCATATGACTGCAAAGCCTAAAATATTTACTATCTTATGTTTTTATAAATAGGGTACAAATTATTACCAAGCACTTATTACTGTAGGCCAGGCACTATTAATCCTCACAGCTGCTCCCTGAGGCAGGAACGAGTATCGTTACCAGTTTGAGATAAGAAACAGTGAGGTTGAGGCACAGAGATGTTAAGTAATTTGCCCACCATCACACAGCTGGGAAGTGGCAGAATGGAAATTTGAACTCAGGCAGTCTTGGTCTTGAGCCTGTGTCTTACATAGTACTCCCTGATACTTGTTGACAAACTTTCTTTTTTAGTCAGAGTCTTGCTCTGTCACCTTAAGTAGAATGCAGTGGTATCATCATAGCTCACTGCAACCTCAAACTCCTGGGCTCCAGTGATGTTCCTGCCTCAGCCTCCCTAGTGGCTGGAACAACAGCCATGCCTGGCTGATTTTTTCTATTTTCGGAAGATACAGTGTCTCATTCTTGCTAAGGCTTGCCTTGAATTCCTGACCTCAAGCAATCTCCCCACCTTGGCCTCCCAGAGTGCTGGGATTATAGACATGAGCTGCCCCTGGCCAGCCTGGCACTCCTAAAATCTACACCAAGACTTCTCAGTGGGGAGAGGGCAACCTCAGGGGACATTTGGTAATGTCTGGAGAAATTTTTGGTTGTCACAACTGATGTTGGTAAGGGTTTCTGGTACCTAGTGGATAGAGGCCAGGGAGGCTGCTAAACACCCCACAATGCACAGGATGGCTCACCCAGTAAGAAATAATCAGGCCCCAGATATCAGAAACCCTGGTGTGCACACCACTGCCTTACAGGATTAATGTCTACACAGCGCTACAGGATTAATGTCTACACAGCGCTACTCCTCAAAGGGAATTAGGAAAGCCCTTTCTTTGTGACACGAGCAGCCATGGACCCACGCCCGGAGCCCTCTGGCTCTTCACTGACCAGTGCTACTCTCTTGCCTTTCTCCATAGTGTCCCGCACTTGGGGATGGCAGCTGTGCACCGAAGTGACCTGGCCGGCACCTGGCCAGCCCTACCTGCTTGCAGTACCCTTGTTTGCAGCTGTGACACTGCAGAAGCAGGACCAGGGGCTCCGACAGTATCTGCTGGAAGCTGCCTATGCTCTTCATCCGCAGGTGGGCCCTTGGGAGTGGCCCCTCCTTTCCCAGCCACGTGGTGGGCTCCTAAGATTGGCATTGGGCCCACAGGGCCTATTCTCTGAGGCTGGTGGGCTGGACTTGTCTTGGTGTAGGTCTCATCCTGCTCCAGGACTTTTGCATGTGCTGGTTCTCAGTTGTGGATTCTATGACTTTTTAATTCTGAATTACTCTTCGATCTCAGTTCAGGGGCACTTTTCCCAGGGAAGCCTGCTGTGGTGACCTCCCCCCCCCCCAGGATGTCATATTACTTTGTTACTTGCTGTTAAGTTTCTCCCTTTGGATCACCTCAGTGTTTATTAGTGAAATGAGCTGGTTAACGTCTGTCTGCCCCACTAGTCTCAGTTACTGGGAGCAGGTGCAGGGCCTGTTTCTCTCACCTCTGTCCCCAGTGCCCCGCCCAGAGTGGGTGTTCACCAGCCTCCTGCCTGACCTCCCAGCTCCCGCTCTTGGATTCTTACTGTCAGTTTACATCAGCAGCCAGACAGGACTTCTGAAATCCCAAAGGGATCATGCTCAGAACCCTCCAACGGCTCCTGTGACCCTCAGAGTAGAGGCTGGATGTCTTGACCAAGAGGCCCTCAACTCCAGGGGAGTTGCTGGCCTCTCTTCCCCAACTCCTCACCGGGCTCCTTGACCTTCAGACACACTGGCCTCCCTTTTCTATGCCAAGCACATTCCTGCCCCAGGGCCTTGGTACAGGTTGCTACTTCTTACGGGACTATTCTTCCCTCAGACGTGCACCCAACTCCCTCCCTTGCTTCCTCCAAGTCTCCTCAAATGGGTGTCCTCAAAGGTGGCCTTCCTGGGATACCGAGTCTAGAGCAGTGACCCCATCAGAGCCCTTAGTTGTTGACTTCGTCGGCACACTTGTCGCTGACTGGCGTCTTCCTCGTTTTGTGTCCAGTGGTCATGTGTCTCCCTCTCTAGGACGGAGACTCCCTGAGGGCAGGGACTCTGTCCCTCCTGCCCAGCCGTACTGCCCACACTAGAAACAGCTTCACCCACCGTGGGTCTTTATTGGCTGTGAGTGAACACGAATTCAGACAGGGCTGTGGCCAAGGCTGCATTTTCCCAGAAACAGACCCGAGCCCTGGGCTGGGGCAGGGTAGAAGTGTTTTATTAAGAAAAGGCTCCTGGTTTGGGTAAAGTCTATGTTAACCAGTATGATGAAAATATTTCAAATTGTATATGAAAACACTACACTGTACCCCATGTTTGCCTTAATGTATATAGCTATCATTTAATAATAAAAAAAAGAAAGAAAAGGCTCCTGGGTACCCAGTAAGAGAATGGAGGGATCAGGGTAGGGAAGGGGAAGATGCTGAGCAAGGAATGATTTCAGGGGAAGTCGCAGCCTCAGCCTGATCCCATGGGAGTCCTGGGACATAAATAATATGACAGGCTCAGCGCCCGTAACTCCAATGGCTAAGGCGCCAGCCACATACATTAGAGCTCGTGGGTTTGAATCCGGCCCGGGGCCTGCCAAACAATGACAACTACAACCAAAAAACAGGCGGGCATTGTGGCGGGCGCCTGTAGTCCCAGCTACTCAGGAGGCTGAGGCAAGAGAATCGCTTAAGCCCAGGAGTCTGAGGTTGCTGCCAGCTGTGATGCCACAGCACTCCACCCAGGGCTATAGCTTGAGGCTCCATCTCAAAAAAATAAGTAAGTAAATAAATAAATAATATGGCAGAGTTTGTTCTCCACCTGAGGAGCTAGGATTTTTGACTCCAGAGCAATATTCTAGTGGGTTCAGGGGCCAGCAGGGAAGAGCAAAGCTTGCAGAAGCTGGGAGGTGAGCGTGAGGCTGGTTAAAACGATGTGAGGGATCTGGCTGGGTGCCTGTGGGGAGCACTGCAGTGCCCTCCCCCGGACCATTTGCTGAACAAGTTGGGGTGCTGTAGATGGGATCTGGGTCTGTTCTGGGAGCTCTGTTCTCCCCCAGGATACTATTTTAGAGCCCAGGAAATTCCTGGTTGGGTTCTTCTCTTGCAAGGTCAAGGTGGTTCTTGTGAGGGCAGGAGTGCCCGTGTTTGGGGTGGCGGATTCTCCCTCTCAAGGAAGCTGTGTTTCCAGAAGGACAGCTGGTTCCCTCAAGAAGCCACAGCCCACGTCTTCATGGGGACACCCAATTCAAATGTGCTGAGGGACATCGGACTGGACATCAGTTACAGCCTGCCCCAGAGGAAGTTCCGGCTCAAGCTTCTCCATCCCCAGAAGAAAATAGAGCTTGATGGTAATGCCAATGCCCCATTCCCCACACCTCTCGCCATGTGCCACACTGAGGGCCAGCACCTATAGCACCTCTGTGACCTTCTAAGGTTAATGCTAAGTTCGGCCCCATTTTAGGGAGGAACTACAGGCTCAGCGCCTAGCAGATCAGCAGAGGACGTCCCCCCGCCCCCACAAAGAGTGAATGCCGGGTAGATCCAAGGTTGAACTCTGGTCTCTTAACTCCCCCCCTCCCCCCAGGAAAGATGGAGGTTCTCGGGAATGCCCGCATGGGTCACTTGGAACTGGTACTGGATGACAGGGACGTCTACTACATCAAGGTTTGCTCTGCACCCTGGGCCCACCTGTGTCAGCACCTGCCACCTCCCCTGGGCATTTCCTGCCCCAGCCCAGGGTCCCACCTTCACAATTGCTCCTCCTGTGGAGTTTTAACAGTTCTTTCTCTTCTCTACCTCACCAGATAACATGTGTAGTTCTTGTTACCCAGAAAATATAAAGAAGAAAAAAATGGGCTCAAATGTCACCACCATCAAGGTGAAAGATTGCTAATATTAATAACAGAAAAGTTCAGAGCAGAGAGAGGTATAAAGTAGTGTGGTAAGGCACTTTGCTCCCCAAATTTCCTGCAGAAGCATTGATGCACGCACTAAGAAATCTACATTTGTTTCCCAGGACTGGGTGGCTTCAGTCACAGAAATGTGTTCTAGAGGCCGGAAGTCTGAAATTGAGGTACCAGCTGGGGGTGGTTCCTTTGTCCCTTCCAGGCCCTCCTCTCCTGCCTTCCAGGAGCCTGGGGCCTTACCTGCCGTGTTGAAGACTGTCTGCCTGTGTCTTCACATGGCCTTCCCTTTCTGGTGTCTGTGTCCAAATTTCCCCCTTCTATGAGGACAATAGTCACACTGGATCAGGCTCACCTCAACCACCTCACCTTAGCTTGCTAATAAGCAAAGATTGTACTTCTGGGTAAGGTCACAGTCACAGGTACTGGGGGTTAGGGCTTTGACAGCTTTTGTGGGGACACAGTTCAACCCACAATACTATAGATCTGCAAAACCTTTTAGTTCTGGAATTTGGGGTCTTTTTTTCCTTTTTCTTTTCACATCATATGGGTACTGTGCTGACCCACCATTGTAAAAAGGTTTGCAGGAGGCAGCCACGGCTCACACAGTGATGTGGAAACCTAATCATCACACTAAGGGTTTTTTTTTTTTTTTAACATGAAGGATCACACCCTTTTCTTTTTTTTTTTTTTACACACCCTTTTCTTTATTGGCACATCCCCCTCCCTCTTTTTACTCCAAAATATATCTTGGCAGTCTTAATATATCAACATATGCTGGTATAATTTAAATTTTATTTTGTTAAAAAAATAGGTAATATATTTAAATGATTCAAAGCTCAAAAGAGAGGAAAGGGATAGAACTGGGTCTCTAACATGGTAGACACTGGCACATGTGGTTATTTACATTTAAATTAATTAAAATGAAAGACAATTGAAAATTCAATTTCTCAGCTGTAGTAGGCATTTCAAGTGCTCTATCACACAGGTCCTCTGGGACATTTGCATCACTGCAGAAATGGAAAACCCTGAAATCTGTTGGTACAGGATAGAGTTAAAAACTCCCTTCCGCTCCTCCGCCAAGCCAACCACATGTTAGTTTTTTGTGATTTCTTTCAGAGATGATCTATGCACATAGTCAGCAAATGAGACTGACATATTCCCTTCTTTTCAAAAGTGCGAATGGCTGTATGATAGTTCACGGAACGGAATTTATTCAGCTCCTTCCATCATGAGGAGCTCGTGAGTTTTTCCCAGGTTCCCGCTCTGAAAATTTATTCCATTGTGAACACTTTTCTCTCTAGAGTCAATTAACAGTGGAATTCCTGGACTTAAGAGTGTGTGTGTTTTTATCTTAGTAGGTACTTTGCAAGGGTTCTTAACCAAAGTACCCACATAGTACTGAGTGATTCACATGAGGCCCCTGAGAGTGTGCGGAAGTTCTGTGTCTGCCCACGGTCCTGGGAGAGGGTTTAAACCTTCCATCCGGATCTCGGCAGGTCTGTGACTTCACAGAATATAAAACTGGTGAGCATTGACTTGCCCCTGAGCACCTTAAGCAATGAAACTTGTGATTCTGCCTGGGTCCCCCTGTCTTCTCAGAGAGGGCCAGAGTGGACCATGTGAAGCCAGGCCTGGATTTTTGCTGTGTAAACACGCTGTTCACTTTTGTCCTGCCAGCCTGGCTGGGGAAGACCAAAGTCAGGGAGAGCTGTCTTCCTTCTAAAGCTCCAGCTGCCTGAGAAATGAGATTTACACATTATTTCCCCAATTCCCCGGAGCCCTTGAACTTGCAGTTGTTTGCTAAATGTACAAGTACTAATTGCCTCCATCTCCCGGTGGACCTTCCTGCTGCTCTCTAGAGAGCTGTCTGCAGCCTGGAAGCATTTATTTGCTTTCAGAGAAATTCTAGTTCCACCCATCCCAGATCATCATGATTACAATAACAGCTAGAGGCCTGGAACTTTCTGGAGCCAGGAGAGTCAAGTTGCTGCTCTTCAGACCACTCTGCAGATGAGCTCATGAATACAAAGCTGCAGAGCTGGGTTTAACTTGGCCCACAGTTCATGGAATTTAGGAATGGAGTCGGGGGTGGTCCTTTCTGCGGCCCCTCCCTAGGTGTGCAGTGATGGGGGTGTCCCAGGCCCTGATTGACACCAGCTGGCCTGACATGTCTGTGACCAGTGCTTTCTTTAACTGCTGAGTGTCCTGGTTTGCCTGAGAAATTCTATGATGACCCTGTGTACCTGGAGAAAACTGGTCCCCGCTGAGCAGCCTCTAATACAGACCAGACCAAACCCTGGCCACACACACCCTCCAGCGAGAGAAGCAGGGAGAGTGGAGGCCCTACACCTGTTTCTGTAAAGAGGAAGGGGGATTGTGGGTCTGTACATGCATATTCACATACATATACACAAGTGGGCACAACACAGGTTTGTATAGGCCCATGGTGGCTCATGTATATATATATATATATATATATACACACATACATATATATATATGTATTTTTTTTTTTTTGGAGACAGAGTCTCTACCAGTAAGACTGGCATCATAGCTCACAGCAACCTCACACTCTTGGGCTTGAGCAATTATCTTGTCTCAGCCTCCCAAGTAGTTGGGACTACAGGTGCTAGCCACTGTACTGGGCTAGTTTTTTTCTATTTTTAGTAGAGATGGGATCTCATGCTCCCTAAGGCTGGTCTCTAATTCCTGAGCTTACGCAATCTGCTTGCCTCAGAGTGGTAGGATTACCTGGCCCTGGCCCTTGAAGAAACAAGAAACTGGGCACAGGGGCTGCCTCTGAGGAAGAGGACATGGGGACCAGGGAATAAAAATAGAATCTATATTTTTTGGTGTCTTTATTTACCCAGTGGCACCTGCAGTGTGCCAGATACAGAGGAGAGATGCAGGGAAAATGACCCACAGAGATTCCTCTCCTCACGGAGCTTATGTTCTTGTGCATGCAAAAGGGATAATCAATTGTCCTGTGCAATAGGCCGGTGTAAGAAGGGGGCATTGAGCTGAGGGCAGGATTCTGCATCTCCAGAGGGGAGGGGTTTGGGGGTGGCTCCAGTTTTAAGTAGGCCGACAGGCAAGCCAGCTTGAGAAAATAATTTTTAGCAAAGACACAAAGGATGCCCAGGTGAAGGCAGCGTGCAAAGGCCCTGGGGTGAGAATGTGCTTGGAATGTTTGAAAGAGGAGACAGACCATGTGACATCTTGCTAAAGCATCATCAGACAATTTGCATTGTTGCCAACTAACAAAGAAAGGATTTATGAGAGAGGAGGAGGAGGAGTAGTGAGTGTTGTTTGACACTTTTTGTGTAAACTGGTGGCCAGCAGCAGGTTGGCAGGGCTATCAAGGATGACATTTGCATTTGTGCTGATTCCCCATAAAAGCTCCAGTGTAGGGCTATGTCCATCTACCAGAGTCCTCCTGTGGACAGCTCTGCCGGGTTCTGCACCATTGACCTAAGGATAGGTCCTTGGCCTGGCCTTGTTGGCTTTTGCAAAAACTTTGAATTTTGTTCTAATAAGAGTGTGCCATGAGCCTCACACATCTCAAAAGCGTTGTTCTGGTTGCCTGATAGAAAATAGTCCCCAGGGGCCAGGGTGGGGCCTTGAGGAGGTCCTTGCAGTGACATAGGCTTGATGTGAAGGAGGTGGGAGTGACAGATTCCAGATGTGCTCTGCTGGGACAAGTCCCTCATGGGTTGGACAAAGGGGATGAGGGGGAGAGAGGAGGAGTCCCTTGCATTTATGTCTGAATTTGTAACATTGTTTACTTATTTTGGAAAGTACAGAATTTAAAAAATTTGGAACATCAGTATAAAAGGCTATTAGTTAAGCTCTAACTCCTGCCCTCTATCAGGGCCTGCTGACCCAGCCTGCCCCCGCCCACCAGGTGACGCTGGGGTCTTTTCAGGGTCGGAGCGACCTGCAGCCAGCAGAGGATGGTGAGGTGCAGCGGTTTAAGGCCCAGCTGGAGGTGAAACTGGTGACTGCGGGCAGCCCCATGGTCCTTGCTGGGAACCTCACATGGCAGGCTGGCAGCAGGTTGGCCTTCTCTGTGTCCCTGAGCCGTCTGCTGGGTGATCAGGCCCATGTGACAGGTAGGAGGAGGAACCCCTTCTCCCTCTCCCTTCCTCAGTGGTCAGGCTGGGGGTGGGCTGGTGCTCCCTGTCTACCCACTCTGCTTCATGTCAATGTTCTATCTGAAGACGATCTCAAGTTTTGTTTGAGCCCCTTAGATCCCACCAACTGTCCCCCACAAGCCTTGAAACAGCAGCTTTTGGATAGTTTTGTTTCTGATTCACAGTGAGAAATACTGGCTCAGCGCCTATGGCTCAAGCGGCTAAGGTGCCAGCCACATACACGTGAGCTGGTGGGTTCGAATCCAGCCCGGGCCACCAAACAACAATGATGGCTGCAACCAAAAAAATAGCCAGTTGTTG